TAAGAAAGTGTAAGGCAAAAGACAAACGATAAATAGTGTGCAGCAATAAAAGACGTTTTTCCGTTATTTGAGCAAACAGTTTTTACATTAAATCTTAATGAACCTGATCTTATATTAACGTTTTGTCGGACCTACACTCTCGTTTTCGTCATATTATCATTTTACATAACCGATGCACTTATAACCGTTTAAACATCAATAATCTTATCGACCTATCCCGACCTCAATAACCCCATAATGTTACCCTGTGACCTAAATTCAAAAAATTTTATCGGAACGACGCATTGATCATACGTTCTTCTTACGAAATAGGGCCAGAGGCTTCGGTGATAACAGTACAGCAAAATAAATTTGATGTGCAGAGGAAGAATGATGGATAATATATGTGTTAAGATTATCGTATAAAGCTCATATCAAATTGCTTCAAGTTATATTCTGTATTTGCAAGCAGAGATAAAAAAAGATATAATAATTTTAGCTCTTTTTCAAGTTATATTTAATCTTTCATGTGAGAAAATTGTATGAAACATATAATTGTATCAAAAAATATTTTATTTCTACAATTTATTTATTAGGAAAGTTAAAAAAATAACAGATAACAAACAATTTCAATGTTTAAAAATGTATACTGTGGAAGAACGTACTTGAAGCTCGAAATTAATTTTACGTTAAATAAAGTCAGATATTTGCGCCGACCCGAAGAGACCCGCGCTGTTCACATGCAAATGCACTTTTCCTATGCGAGCGACTGTTCATGAATATATGGAAGCGCACGTGATTTCGTAATACTTCACCTATCGTCACACCATGTACAGAGACTGTTTAAAAATCTTGTTGATAAATTGCCAAGACGTAAAACTCAAATGGACGATCCTTGACAGAAAGACATTTGCAATCCTTCCTTTTTATCCAGCAAGAACGATGTATGTCAGCGAGGGAACTATTACACTTGACGCACTTTTCTAATTTTTATAACTTATAAATGTATGTATATACATTATATCTTATATAAGATGTCAATATCCGCAATCACAAGATCCTAATAATGTATTATTCGATAAATAATTGTTTCCTTAAGCGGAAATGTGACAAAGAACCTTTCGAGTAGATATATCTCTATCACTATTACTTATATAGTTTCGAATTTGTTATATGTAAATATTAAGCAATTGTATAATAAACATGGACTTGCATAAATGTAAAAGCTTTGAATAGTCTTAATACTTTAAAGGAGACACTTACAGCAGACGTCCCGTTTCGAATTTCCAATCATTGTTTATCGTTGTACCGATACCACACACATACCGTTAAAATTTATCAGACTATTGCTAACTTTTTTGGTATATATACATATAAAATAGGATTTTTTTAGTATCTTGAATTATCAGAGCCTATAGAAACATGATTCAAGACGAGACTTACTTCATAAAGTGTTAGTAGGCCACGACTGAAATATATATACCAGGCATCTCGGCTAATAGTAGCCAGGCGATGGCATTGACCGCCATATTCTTAGTAGTTTTCGAAGTGGCATTTAGAGAGCGAATTTTGTTTCTAATCTCTTTCCTTTTCTTCTTTCCTTCATGCTATTATTATTTTCTCTTCTCTCCCGCAGGTATAGCTACGGTAGAAATGGCTTTTAAGTTAGAGAACCTTCAGAATCTCTTATTTCATGTTACATAACTATACCCGAATGAGATTATTGGTGCGAGGAAAAATGATTTCTACGGAATAAGTATTCCTTTTTGTACAATAAAAACAAGGCTCTGTGAATGAACATTTTGTTTCGATGTGGTATTTTTTATTTTTTACATATTAGTTTCATATATGTGCGCGCGCGCGACTACGTGTAACTTTTACATTTGTTCGTATTTATAATAATCCCCACTTATATATTGCATATTATTTTGAATGAAAAATGAAAATATTCGACTCGATGGCGGATCGTCTCGGATCTATCTCCTCGCTCGATGACCTGTTGGTCCAACGTGGTCATGCGTTGATATCTTTCGCATAGTTAACATATACACTTTCTACGCTCATTCGATACTCACTGTCACCGAAAAAAGCAGATAACCCGAGATATGCTCGCCCGGGTACACGCGTTCTCGTTATCACATGCTCCCGTGACTTCGGCTTCAAATCGTGTTGCTAGGCGAGCATAAGATTCAGATTTCTACGTTCGAAATCACGTTATTTCATCATTGTCTTCACAAATTTATTTGTTACATTACATTCATTTTTTTTAATTGGGTGATGAATTCGTAAATTTGTAAATATTCTACGCTGTTTTATTACAATTTCACAAGAAATTAATATTAGATAAGAATGCTTATACATTAAGATTTACTTATTTATATATATGTATATGTACATAGGGATAGTCGTATAATAATAATCTGAGCTTAGATAAGAAGAATAAAACTTGTATTTAAATATGATTTTAACTTCTTTTCTCTAAATGATTTTGTCAAGATTTTTTTTCTAAAGAATGTAAAATATGACAATATTATATAAAAGATATGTCGAAGATGATGTAACATGAAAGACAAGTGCGGGCTCTTTCGAAGTTTTACTTCATACGGCCCTTTCTTGATGGGATACGCGACACTCGAAAAGATTACACTCTTCCCTTCCTTTCCTCTACCACACAAGTACTTTTCATTTTCATTTTGTCGTTACGTTCTCTTTCGCCCCCTCGGTTCTCCAAGATAGATCGTAACTATAATTAGCTCCCCTTTTTTTTATTACGCTTTGTAAACGCGTTCGCTCGAGATCAACGCGGTTGCCAATGGCGTAACAATCGATTTTCGGTCCTTAAGCAGAATAGTAAAGAAACGATTTTCTTATGAAAACGTATAAAATAACGAACTCTTAAAAGAAAACTTATATAAAAATCTTTCGAAAGAACACAACTCGCACGAACGTAGCTCTCGATTAATGTTATGTACTCTTACTGTATATAACATTTATTATATAATGTATAGGTATTATTTGTATATCGTATTTTATTTTTGCGTAACGTATATAGACACAAAAAATTGAATTCTACGGAAATTATAATGGAATCTTAGGAGGATTGATTGTATATAGCTATATAGTTTAGAAACTGTGTGATGATGGGGGCGTAGGTCGTTGACAAACATGGGAGTGCCATAGATAGAGGATCGATGGCAAAAAAAGAGAGAAAGATAGTTAAAGAGAGGACCTCTTCTATATATCGTTCGACCATTCCCTTCATAAACGGGCGTGGCCCTTAGATTGTGTGCCTTAGATTGTCGTAACGTATAATTTCCGTTTCCATGGAAAATTACATTTCAGAAAAAAAAAAATTTTAATTTAATGTTTCGCGAAGTTTTGTAAATAAAAACTGAAAAAAGAAAGTTTCTCAATACACATTTTATCAGAGCTATATACGTTAACGGGATACGCTACGTCGCAAAATCAAATCATGTCGTTGATAAACGAGCATTCTCAGAATGCAAGGTTACACGTGCAACAAAACCAACCCCATGGGTGGTTTCTATTTATTCGCGCGTTTTGTAGATCGTTTCGAGATGACCTTAACGACGGACTTATTAAAACGCATAAAATAGATATACGCGAAAAGAGAGTCAATGAGCGGAAACCAACCGATTGTACGCGCGTATAAGCAATTGTAAATCGCTATGTTAATATCGCTGCCGGGGTTCACCGGGGTCGCGCCGGGTCATCGTGACGTCAGCGGATACCGCGTCTTACCGTTGTTCGGCGAGCTAATACACGCTCTACGTATGAGCATATATCGACGGCACCAATAAAAAATATATCGCAACTATATTTTTCGTTTTCAGTTGCGATCGTTTCCTATAGTAATGTTATTTTAGTATTTAACGTGTCATACAAAAAACTATCCATATATCTATATGACCTCAATTAATATACCTGTAGTATATAATAACTCGGTGTTAATTTAATATTCCGTCACTATTGTCTATTAATTATTTTAAACAAATTTGCAAAATCGTAATCTTTTACATCCGTAAAATCATTCTTATGTCACTTTTAAAGGATTACAATTTTGCACAAGTTTGCAAATTATAATACTTTTCAATTATATATAGAGCTATATCATCAAAAAATGTTAACTTTTAAAATATATAAATAAGGATTAAGATATAAATTGACGATTCTCTTTTTTTTTTTTTTTTCAAATTCCTTGTTTTAATTCTTAGTTCTTTATATACATTATTGTTTAATGGAATTTATTACAAAATTGTTATGTCTTTTAAATTTAAACATATTTAAATATTAGCTACACAACGTACATTTTTCTTTCTTTATAATTTAAAGAAACACTTCTAAATTTTATATATTTTTCCAAAATTATAACGGTGTGTTTTATTACCTTATTTTTCCGATAAATGTAACAGCTTTGAGCAATTAATTCATTGATATATAATACGTTGTTACAACAATTCGATCATGTTCAAGTTTCGCCCTCTGTCCCACATTTCTCTTGTTACGAACTATGTAAGCATGAACGAGTTAATCTGTCGGTTTTTATATCTATCGATAAAGTAGATCTCTTATTTTGAAACGTATTCCCTTTTTACAGAATTAAAATGTAAATAATATTGTATGTACTTTATATACAATTAAACATTGTCTAACGGAATCGAAAGTGTGCCTCATTGTTCATTTACAATTTTACATATTCTTTATACCGGCATCAAATAATATTGTATTTGCTATTATTATTATTATTCGCTATTATCGATACATATATATCTATATAATTTAAATAAAAAAATTTTTTTCTCAATATTTTATATACTCTTAAACTAAATATTTCTAAACTAAATATAATTTACAAAGCTGTCACTGACTTACTTTGCAGTAAAGTTTAAATCGTTTAAATGTTTAACTAATTACTTATAAAATTGTTTGTTATTACACAAAAAAGAGATATAAACATATATTTGTAGAAACTTAATTCATAAGAATTTGTTTTCAGTTTATTAATATATATTTTTCGAATAAAACTCCTTTATTGTAAAACGTTTCTTAGGTGGTGTAGGGAAAATTTCATTATCTTCCTCGTCTGATAGATTTGCAGATTCTCGCTTATTCTTCAAGCGTGAAATATAACTAAATCTTTGCAACCTTTCGAGTATCGATAATGGAATTGCGCTTTGTGCTAAAGTATAAGCTTCTTCTAGCGATTTCTTGTCGTTTATATTATAATATCTATTCTGTTTGAATAATAAAATAAATAAATGAAAATCCAAAGAAAAAATAATAGAGAATATAATAAAACGATAAAGAGAAGTATTATATGTAATACTTAATAATTTTATATATTTTTTTTAGATAAATATAAATAAATATGATATGATACCTTTTTCATAATAATGCTCTTTCTACATTTTGTAAAAGCTTTGATACTGTTAGACCTAAGCCAAGCATGTTGAATATCATCTTTAAAGAATGTCACATGATATTTTACCTATGTAAGCATCATTCGCATTATTATATTATAAAAAGTTAATTCCGTAATCTTGATAAGTTATAACGTATTAATTAAATAAATTAAAAATAAATATTAAATTTATTAAATAAATGTAAATGTATTTAAATAAGTAAAATTTTAATTAGTTATTTTATATGTACATATGTGTTTATATATTCTAAAACTTACAGGGACTTCTGATGATTCATTCTTTAATTCATAAAATCGTAAAGTCTCAGGGCAATCGTCTACGATTGCGGGCCACCATGGACAACCATTCACGTGACCCCATACAAGACTTCCGCTATTATATTTATTTTTTATTAAATCTTCTTCGATTTCCTCTGTTATTGGTACTTCCGGTATGAGACAAGAAGCAATAGTTTTATCTATATAATACATATGTTTATATTTAATATACATTAAATACTGTTGTGTATTATATTTAATTATAATTACACATAATATTGATTACTTTAAATAAAATTATTTTAATAATTAAATTTAATAACTTAATGGTATGGGGATGGATGAGTGAGATAAGGAAAATTATAAACCAAGTCCTCTTCTTGGCCTTGTCAAAAACACTGAAGTGAATAAATATTCTATTCTAAATATTATAACTTAATACATGTATATATATATATATATATATATATGGTATACATATATATGTAGTATATCGATTAATCTATTGGGAGTACAAATTAGTTAGGTCCGTTTTCCAAAAGATGATCACCTCCAAAGACGAGTCATTTTTCCGAGATGGAATTCGAAAATAGCCTTGAGATATGGGAAAAAGTAGAAGTCAGCGATGGACAATACTTTAATTAATCTGTTAATTCATTTTATTTTGAAATAAATGCATTTTTGAACACAAAAAACGGACCAAACTAATTTGTACACCATATAACAGAGTATTTCATTTTAATTTTGCCATTGAAATAAAAGTTTTATGAAAAACTAAAGACACAACTTTTAGGATTTTAAGAAGGCTGATGGGTTAACCTTCAAACGGCACATATATTTCATCCCAACACCCATAAACGGCATACTGATGCGAATTGGGATTTTGTGATTTCATTCACTTATTTAACACCATGATAATATTCTTCAAAATTCTTTCAAAACCATACTTTTTTGGGATAAAATTTCTCAACAAAGCGATTGGTACAACTCAAATTTAGTTATATTATTCTTAAGTTATAAAAAAAGTGGTTATTAAGAAAAGATTGTGGGAAAAATGCCTGTTTTAAAAATTTTGCTGGTGCGAATTCGCACCAGTATGCCGTTTGAGAATTAAAATAAGTTAAATCTTTCGGGAATAAATATGTAAAAAAAAATCTACTTGACTTTTGATTGAGTTCAACATAATAAGTAATCAAAATTGAAAATTTTATCAATGTAATCTTATTTTCAGTTGCGTCTATAATAAAAAAATTATTTTGATTAAAAATAATATTAACTTCAGTTTGATTGATCCCAACTGTTACAAACTAAAAATCAAATCAGTTCATCAGATATTGTTCTTGAAATTTTAAAAGTTTTGTTTCTAGTTAGTTTTATGCAAAATGTTTTTTTTAGTCATTTTAATTAGCAAAATTAAACACTCTGTATATGTCAATGTGTTTATAATACAGTAGCAAACACACGTGCCTGAATTCATTTTACAGTACCAAATTTTTGGTACGTCGACAGGATCATGAAAATCGTCACAATATCGCCATTTTTTGCAAGTTTTCTTACAGCATTGGATGAACAAGCCTATGTCTCTTCGTGATTGTAACCATAATAATACCTCCTCTTTTTTTATGTCTACACTCGTACATTGCGATACTGTCATAGATGAGTATTTTTCAAAATCTAAAAAAAAACAAAGAAAACAGATTCTTCATATATTTATAAGTTTTGCTATTAATTTATTTTTCATCACGCGTGCACGTAATGTGCCTTATACCGCAACGCTTTTGCTTGCGGGAAATAGCAAATAACTCATGCCGTTGAGGTATTTCTCTAACCCCACGCAAAAGCGTTACATTAAAAAAAATAGCGCAACGCAGTGATAGCGCTCGTACAAATCAACACGGAGAAACGCACCGACCGGAACGTCCTTTCGGGGCATCTGGGGGGGGGGGAATTCTACAATAATAAAAGTATCAACTACGACAAAACAACAATGCAGTATCTAAATATCATTCAACTTATAATAACGTTTAAATTTAATTTGAAATTGTCGTAATCTCATAATTATAATTAAAAGTAATAAGTAATACAAAATTTTGTATTGTAAAAAATATTTCGTAAATAAATATTTAATTTCAGTTTATTATTTTCAATTTAAACTCTCACGGTTTAATAAGATTTAATTGAAACGTATATAGTAAAGCGTTCAGGGTAAAAGGGTATACTTTACAATATCGAAATATAAAAGATACCGGAGCTATTGTATAATAGAAGGCATTTGTATGTGCACACATGATGTTATCATGTTGTACAATATCATCTTTGCATATATGCAAGGTATCTGATTATCAAAATAAATGTCATTATATGCATACGCACACACGCGCGCATATGCACACATGCACACGTATATACATACTTACATGTGATATATACGTACAATACATTATGTATACATTTACGTAAATATATATGTATATATATAGTATATATATAGTATATATATATATATATATATATTAATATTATATACATTTATATTTATAGTTACTTATTTAAAAACCATAATTTAATAACAATTGTTTTAGAGTTTGTTACAAGAAAATATATTTTATACACCCTTTTATACGTTTTATAACGTTTTTCTTTATACATTTTTTGCATACATTATAACAATCACTATTACAGTATGTGTGTTTGTGTGTGTGACATTTATTTAATCATTTATTTAATTTCTATGATTAATGTGATTCTATACAAGTACCCAGATAGCCAAACCTGCCAAAAGCACGCATTGCAAATTTATGCTACATGTTATAATGGCAAAAATCGAGCACAGCCTGCCGTCACGTCGTGACGTTTCTGCTATCTGTACTTGGTTGCGTTCGGTTTCACGCATATGAGCGCATTCCCTTATAGTATACGTGACGCTCACTATATAAAATGCGCGCATATGCCTGAAACGGCAGCCCTTGATCACTGAACTATACTAATAGGCCTCTGTACACAGTCAGTAATATTGTCAATATCAATGAATACTGATAATATTATATTGATTGTGTGTGGTTAATATTAAGGATCGACAGGAGTGACAGAAATATTTTTGTTATGCCTTTTTACAAAAAAATAGCTCTGTACGAGCCTTCAGGAGCCTTTCCTAATTACGAATATCACAATTAAAACGCGATCCATCCAGTATTTTAGCCGTAATTTGGGAATAAAAAATTCATCTTCGACTAGAGGTCTCTGGGTCACTCCTGTTGACTCTTAATGGATTGATGTAGAATACTGACGATGATTTGGATTCAAATACATGCTTTTTCCTTAAGATCCATGTCGCGATAGATAATAATAATAGATAATAATATATACGTCAAACTGAAGTGAAATATTATCAATAATACCTGATCGTATAAAATTATAAAAACTAATGCATACTGTCAGTAATACTGATCAGTAATACTGACTCAGTATTACTGATCGTGTAAGGAGGCCTAATGGTTTAGGTTACTTGGTCCTTGTCGGTATCTGAATCAAGAGTGCTTTCCATGCGTCTGCGCATTTCATTAACTAAACCGATTCACTTCTGAATCTTCGGATCAACAACTGCTAACATTTTGCTATCTGGATATACAGTGGGTTGCCAAAATATTAGGGACAGTGCAATTTTTCTGTTATTTTTATGTCAATATTGCCAGGCTTTACATAGAACTTACAAATAAGATAAAATAACCAGAACGGGCATTAAAAATAAAAATACTTCGCGGAATTTCATTAAGAGGATTGATTTGCAAAATCAAAATTAATAGAAAAATCGCACTGTTCCTAATATTTTGGCAATCCACTGTAATACTAGGCAGTACGACGATTGCGCGACAAATATTCCAGGGGCAGGCATATTTGTCGCGCAACCCGTCGTACTGCCCCAGTATCTGAGAAAGGATTGAAATGAATCAAAATGGATTCAGATTTTCAGAAATACGGATTCATGAATGTTAAAATGAATTAAACAATTAATATGAAGAGATAAGGACAATGAGCCAATAATTCCGTTAAAATCTTTTTAAATAAATCTAATATACAGGGAGGGGCATTTAAAACAGGTCACCTGAATAACTCGCTTGTTTTTGACAATAGAAGAAAAAGTGTCAAACAAAAGTTGCTTGGTTTCGAGGGGCACATAATATGATGTCAATAATTGTTTTTTTGGTGGAAGCGCTAAAAAGATATGAAGGTCACCTCCACTTTTTAAAATGGAATTATGTAATTTTTTTTAGATAACGTGATTCCCCTAATTATTTTGCATATAAAAGTATTCAGGTAGAGATACCAAAAAACAAATAGTTTTTGAGATATTTTACACTTTATTTTGATACATACTGACACAAAATGTTTTAACTCGTAAACTGTTGACCTTTTGATTATCGTACCTTAATACTTTTGTGAACAGAATAATGAGATAAATTAAATGGTGTAAAGAAAACACATAGTTGCGTATTTAAAAAATTATCCATTTTGTATACATATTTTTTTTAAAGCAACTATGTGTTTTCTTTACACCATTTGATTTATCTCATTATTCTGTTCACAAAAGTATTAAGGTACGATAATCAAAAAGTCAACAGTTTACGAGTTATTTAACATTTTGTGTCAATATGTATCAAAATAAAGTGTAAAATATCTCGAAAACTATTGGTTTTTTGGTATCTCTACCTTAATACTTTTATATGCAAAATAATTAGAGGAATCACGTTATCTAAAAAAAATTACATAATTCCATTTTAAAAAGTGGAGGTGACCTTCATATCTTTTCAGCGCTTCCACCAAAAAAACAATTATTGACATCACATTATGTGCCCCTCGAAACCAAGCAACTTTTGTTTGACACTTTTTCTTCTATTGTCAAAAACAAGCGAGTTATTCAGGTGACCTGTTTTAAATGCCCCTCCCTGTATAT